TGAAAAACATTTGAGAGGGGGGGGGGAACATAAGAGCGTTTCAAGGATGTAAAAGAGACAGACACAAAGGTAGAAACAAAGGTGGGGTGAATACTGTTAAAGTGGACGTATTCAACATACAGCGGGGTTATGGTAGTTTGAAGTGAGAAGTCAACTGCCAGTCAATAGACGTAGTTTGAAGTCAGAAGTCAACTGCCGGTTGATAGACTTGTTAGTTTGAAGTGAGAAGTCAACTGCCAGTTAATAGACTTGTACCGTTAAAGTAAGATGAGTACTTTGAAAGGGGTCGAATATGACATACAGTGTGGGTGATGGATACTGTAAAAGTGGTAGAATACGGCATTCAGTGGGGTTAGTACTGTGGTAGGGGTCGAATATGACATACAGTGGGGTGGTGGCGTACTGTGGAAGGGGTCGAATATGACATACAGTGGGGTGAGCTACTGTGGAAATAGTCAGAAGTCAACTGCCGATTAATAGACTTTTTGATTTTCAGTCAGAAGTCAACTGCCGGTTTATAGACTTTTTTGCCGTTTGAGTAGTCAGAAGTCAACTGCCGGTTAATAGACTTTTTTGTGAAGTGAGAAGTCAACTGCCAGTTAATAGACCTTTTTGCGTTGAAGTCAGAAGTCAACTGCCGGTTAATAGAATTTTTTTGCCGATAGTGAGAAGTCAACTGCCGGTTTATAGACTTTTTTGCCGCTTTGAAGTCAGAAGTCAACTGCCGAATAATAGACTTTTTTAAGAAGTCAACTGCCAGTTAATAGACTTTTTTTGCCGTATGGCCGTATGATTATACGTTGCCCAGGGTGCACCACGTGGAGGTAAGTCTATTGAAAAACGAATGCCGAGTGATAGAATTTTTGCCGTAAGAAAGTACGTTGCCCAGGGTGCACCACGTGGAGGTAAGTCTATCGTACGTTGCCCAGGGTGCACCACGTGGAGGTAAGTCTATCGCTCGCCCCGTGTGTGTGAATATAGAAAATCAATAACAATTTACAAAGCTTCGGCAATGAATGAAGTAACCGCTGTTTTTTTGAATAATGAATTTCGAAATTTCTTAGATCTCCCTTCTTAATTGACTCATTTTAACTTCTGATTGGCGCATCTCAAATGTGTGTGAATTGTTGTTAGATGTCTTTGACAATATGTACGATCATATTAGTTTTCTTATATACACATTCATTCTATAGCTTCTCATCCGGCATCATATGATTTCTCACCGTGAGAAAGTCTCTCAACTGGAAACTTGAAACGTAGTCAATTCCACAATTGTCTGCGCTTTTCATTTAATTTTATTTCTCCTCGCGGCTTTAGCTAATAGCTTTACTTCCATTTTCTCTTCGCCTTGTTTCATTTAAATTATCGATATTTGTGGAATATAGACGATCGGCCTTTAGAATACACTTCATTAACATGTCCATCTAATTCCCAAGTTCTGACCTCTCCTATCACGCGTTCTTGTCTATTGCTGAAGAAGCTACCGTTTTGCGTAGGATGCAGAAATCTTGACGAGCCACTCGACTACGAAATAGGGAAAAAGGAGACTGAGAATAAAAAATCACTCCTTTTATTTGGAGAGATTGGGAAAGAGCTATGTAGGTAGAAAGATAGCGGAAGAGAGCAGCACCTGTCGCCCATTTTCAGACGGTGATTTGTTACTGCTCGCTCGAAGAACACACGTCCACCACAACTTCTCTCACTGCATCTTTCCACTCCCCCCCCCCTCCCAAATTGCCGTTTGTTCTCTTCTCTGATCTCATTTGGGAAGATTGCTGTCGCCTTTTTAGGTCGTTGGTTTTGTTACGGAATTCCTAAGCCTAACTTGGTTAGCCCTCCAAATCTAGCTATCATGACGGGATTGTGGCTATTACAATATCCTTTCGAAATACCACAAATTCGCAAACACGATATTTAAAGTACATACCCTGGCTCCCTATCTACCGCTTTAATGCACTATCATTATATGATCCTTGTTAAAATCTTATGACAAACATGATCTTCAAATCAAAAGAAATGAAGAAGGTCATTGTAAATTTTTTATGTGTCTGTGAGTGTCGGTTTCCATGCTAGTAGGTATCGCGCTAACGAGATAACGAAACGCTGCGCAATGCATGGTAGTTACACATACACACGCACGCTACTGTGCGACATAAATTTCACACATCGTCACGAAGTGTGATCTACGCTTGTAGCGTTTTTTTATGCTTGCGGCAAACATGTGGGCCCCACCCTCTCCCCTTTCTTTGCCATTCTCCTATGTGGCCAAATCTGACTAGTGGCATAGGGTATTGTTGTCTTTATCCGATTACTGACAGATTTTAATTCAATTGGTCTTACTGCTGCCAATCGTGTAAAGGTCGAATTTTAGTGATGATACCTCGTTTTTTTGAGGCCACAAGATGGAGATCCGTCAAAATTTGTTGCCAAGATTAAAATAAGGGCGAAAAATGTGTAGAATGGTAGAATTTCTGACTTTCACTAGAGGGGCTTCTCAAAATGCTTCTTATCCTCCCCCAACATTACTTTATATTGATCTTAGGTCTCTCTAGTAATCATTCTTTCAAGTTTCTACAAACGTTACTTTAACAAAATGGAGAGTGGACAGAAGATGGGGCCTGGATGCTTGTTCTGTGAGAGAACAGAGGACATGGCCTTGATAAGCTAAAACGTTCTATAATGGAATATAGGAATGACTCAGACAAGTTGATAGATATGTGTTTGCCAAGTTATTGAATTATCATCTCAAGTTCTACGCCTCTCCAGTAGTTTCATCTGAAATTCATTAAAACCTTAATCCAAACTATCAGTTAAGACAATAAGGTTCCAATTTTGAACACATTTTAACCCCTTAGATTTGGAATATTGGTCTAAAAACTGTCAAACAGTTGGGGGGATTTATTTTGGCGGGTTTTATTCGATAAATGATTACTAACATCACCTGATGAGATATTGACGAATTTTAAGGTTCTCCAAGGCATCCGGCTCATTAATTAATAAATCAATAGTCATAAGAAGTCGACGTAATGCGAAAATTCTTCCGCCATTGTTTGAGTGAGAGAGAGTTTCATGTGACAATTCAACAAAACCGAATCTGAATATGAGACGCTACAGGTTAGTGAATGCGGTTCGAGCCCCGGAAGGTGTTGAAATGTTGAAGTTGGGTTAAACGACATTGGAAATCAGATTGTTCTTCTAGATGGAGAAGGCACTGAGTCGAATTAATAACCCACTAGTAAATCGCGATGGGACTTAAACGTCAAGTTTATTGTTGAGGGAAATATGCCAAGGTCTGAACTTCAAGGTGCTTTGAAGTGCCTTCTTTGGCCTCTCTTTAAAATGCTATTGACATTGGAGGGGTTCTGATTGATTAAAAATATCAATTTGATAAAAATATTTTCTCGTTCAATCCCATTCATATTCTAACTTTCATCAATGCCGGCCCACCCATGCAGTAGTCACTACCCAGAGTCACAGGATTTGTCGTGACATTTCGTGGGTTATTGAATTTCTCCTCCAGTCGATTACGTATGGTGGAGGGCTTTTCACCAATCCACTTGCCATGTGTGAGGTGACTTCGAGTGCGACCATTGGATGTGTTTCGGAGGTCTAGTTTATATCCTCACGTTTACATCCATATAATTTGTTTGTATGCATGTTTATTTATGATTAACATTCCGCACTCTCTATTACCAGAGCGGGAGGGAGAGGGGGAGAGAGAGAGATGGAGGAAGCGAGCGGGAAGCGCGTTTGTTTCAGAATCGCATTTAGCGTTCGGCAGTGCAGCATACGCGTTTAAAACGAAATCACGAGTAAAAACTTAGTTATTATTATTGTTATTATTAAGGTTATTACTAGGCTTTGAGTTAGCGAATTGGAATTGACAACTTGTGATTAGATGGAGCTGCTGATGGCTTTCATCCTTGGTTATCTTTTTTAGTCGAAAAGTCTGTTTATTTTCCACTTCTTCCATTGCCTACAATGATTGGGACTATCATTTTTGATATGCTATTCCACCGAAGGAGGAAAGTATCAAGCCAAGGGATTTTGAGTCGAAATTTTATGTAAACCCCCTTGAAAGCAGAGAATTCCTTAGAATCGTCTTCACGTCTGTTTTCGGCGGGGTTTTAGCTTTGGGTGTTTTTTTATGGTAACTTATTCTGGATACCGATCATCCAGAAGAGCTTCTAAGAAAGCATGCATTTTTTTGAAGAGAAGGCCATTGCCGCTCTATTAGTATTGAGACGTGTATTCGGCGTTACGGTGGCTAATATCTCCTAATTGAATACTGCGTGCATAGGAACCAATTCAAATGCCTTTAAGTGTGTTGTGTCAATTAATTCAAATTATCGAACTGGGGAAATAGACTAAGATGGGCATGTTTGACATTAGTACTGGCCTAATAGTTTGACGTTCCCTTTTCTAAAACAAAAATGGGTAGAACCGGCAACTGTTGTGCAAATGCTCAACAGTGGGCGCCTCGATTTGCACTTATCAATATTTTTTGTCATGAGTTTTCTGCCTTCGTAATTTAATGACAGTTTTACGGTGCTTTGAAATGTCTTCTCACTCAAGTAGGCCTTAGGTGAAGGGAGTGCCGAATGATTGATGCACATCAATTAAGGCTACCTTTCAAAGGACCACTGTTATAAATAGTGTGTAATTTATTGCGGAATTGGATTATACTTTTCGCCTGCTTCGATTCGATTTTAAAAGGTACATTTTGCACGACTCGGAATCTTGTCGTTGGAATTTCAAATATTTCGTTTTCGAAGCTTGGTAGACGTTGGTTTTGTTGTTTTTTTTTTGAGTTTTGATTAAGACTCATTCTTTTGTAGAATAGGACTCGAGAAAGTTCTTTCGGAATGCGGGTGACCGGTTGATGGGATTATTGAAAGCGGTATATGAGGAATGCTGACAGTAGACCGTTGGGTGTTGATACAAGACAAGTAAACAACGTGAAACAATTTAACTTTCTTTCTTCCTTTGTGCTGTTGTGGATGGTCTTCTCTGTTCTCTTGCGTACACAATCTTTTGAATCACGAAATGCTAGGCGGGAGTAGAGACAGTTTGTTCAAGGTCATTGCTGATTTAAATTAACTAAGAAGCCAAGGACATCTCCAGTCAAATCAATTTCTCCTGATAAGTTGGAAAATAGCTTCTATTCCAATCTCATCATCTTAAGCGATGTGAGGACTGTTATGTTCGCTTATTCTCCAAGGAAAACAAATTACAGTGCTCGACTTAATTTCACTTTAATTTTTATAAGAGACAAGGGTGGTTGAGATATCGCCTATTGAAATACTTTTCTCAGCGTTGGAATTAAATGCAATGAGGATCTCTCTAAAAGGTCTTTTAACAACCAATAGCAAGCTATCTTTCAGTTTCAAGTTCCCCATAGCTATGCACCCTCTTGCTCTGGTACTATAAATACCATTTTTATTAAATTAATGGAATTTTTATTTAACGTGTTAAAAGGGCAGAATTTGGTTTGATTTGCTGTATGTTTATTACTAGTTATATCTGCATAAGTGAACTGGGCGTTTTTTGTCTACCTCTTGGGGGATTGATTGGTCATGATTGTCTTTGAACTATTTTCTGGATCCGAATGGCATGAATTTTCGTCCTAATCTTTTGTAGAAAAGCCAGTTATTTGTGAAAATACTAATGTTTTTGCAATGTTTTATAGCAAAATGACGTAGAACCATATTCTAATTGTAATGAGTTAGGCGGGAAGTTGCGTTCGTATTTCGATCACCAAATGATTCAAGAGGTTGCCCACTTTCCTCTCATGAAAATCATTCATCGTAATTTGGAAACATTCTTACTTGAAGCCTCTAAAAGTTATCAAGTATTTTGAGCTTGCACTGATTTTTGCACAAACTTCTCTGTACCATTAATCGATACTTGCAAATTTCACCTTGTCGATATTATCTTTTTTACCTGAACCGCCATTTGATTCCCCAACTACAGATGTCACCAACCTCACGGCCAAAACGCATTTTAATCGTTGAATGATCCCTTATTTTCCTTTCAGAACCTGTGCGGAACCAGCCTTGAAGGCTGATTTTGACGACCTTCAATCCAATCTCATGACGCTCAAATCTCAACACGACTGCCCAGATGCTCTCAAGGTCGAAGATATCTTGGAAACCATGTATCCAGCTTCGAAACGGGCTCACTGCAAACTCTGTTGTGAATAATGCCAGATTCCACAAAGAACCTAACTTACTTCTCTACACTTATTTTCAATTTTCCGCTCATATATTTATTTAAAATGCAGTTATTTTGCTATTATGTTTGAATTTTTTTCAATATTTTTGCGATATAATTTATCTGCCCAATTATATGTAATTGAGTGTTTTGGCGCAAATTCGGTAGTGTCTTTCGTATGGAATAAACCACTTCCCTATGCTATGGGAAATCATGTAACGTCTACTGACTACTTTGCGAGTTCCATTTATGGGCATTTTCGGAAATCACGAATACCAGGACACTTAAGGAAAATTTAAATGATTTGAAATCATTTTTATGCGGTTCCTTCAGATGTTTTTAATTTATTAATTGGAATTTCCGCATCATGGCGTATCAGTCTTTAATCAATATTGCACGATTGCATCGAGAAACAGTGAGTTATTTTTTGTGTTGGTGGTCCCTGCATCAGGGGTAAACGAGTTTGATTAATGCAATTAAATTAAGTCAATTTTTCTTCCCCAAGTTATATCATCTTTTTTGTTGCTTCTAAAATAACTGTCAAGTTCATGTAAACAGGACTTGTTTATTGGACTTCATACATCTATCACCTCAATTCACCTTTTGCAAATTTTTCACTACTTTTTGTCCATATTCATACCAGCTGAGAGGTCGTATTACTTTCAAATAATTTTATTCTGAAGCAGACATGGCCGTGAATAAAGTTAAAATTGAAGAATAATTCCTGCCTGAATCTCAATTTCTTAATTCAATTACCTACTTAATGAAGGGGGAGGTTACTATATTTTCAATTTTTTAAAGGAAATTTCCACTTCACTTTTGACTACCCGTTTCCCATCTGATTAAAAGTGTCAATATGTTGTCGCTTTTTTCACATTGGTTTCACGCCTCATTTGATCTATCGATTAGCTACTAAGTAATGCAAAATACATTCTGCTTAAATAGAATAAATCTAAATCAATGAATGTCAAATAATTAATAAAAGGTGAGGAGTTAATATAACTTCTTTCATATTTACTTGTTTCGATTGAATATATCACGATGGACTCAATTGTTACTCGCGCGCCGCAGTCGCACTGAGGTGGATTTAATACATTAAATATTATTTATTTATTTTTTTCAAATGGCAGACATTTTGATGGTTATCAATAGCCCTTTAGTTGACTTCAGGCTTCACAGGGGGAAGGAACATCAAAGTGGAAAAACAGTCGAGAGGGGGGGGGAACAGAAGTGTTTCAAAGACAAAGGTAGAAAAAAGTTGGGGTGAGTACTGTGGAAGGAGCCATACAATGGTGTGATGGTAGTTTGAAGTGAAAAGTCAACTGCCGGTTAATAGACTTCTTTGTCGTATGAGTATACGTTGCCCAGGGTGCACCACGTGGAGATTAGTCTATCGCACACCCTTCCCATAAATATTTCACTCGAAGTTTCCTTTTAAGGCAATTCGGAACAATTTTGGTGGTTAGTGAGGGATCCCTCTAGCCTCTGATAAACTGTAGACCAGTGCCATTTCCCTACCTTTTTTAGGTATATGGTTTGAAGTTCCAACTTTCTTGATTCTCATTCGGCCTCTGATCTTCATGATCTTCATGTGTGTGTGTGTGTGTGTGTGTGTGTGTGTGTGTGTGTG